ATGAAAATACTTTCTCTAGTTATGGAGTATTTTTAAATTTTTTATCAACAATTTTTGCTACAGTTTTTCTTATAATTTTTGTTTAAAAGTCTATTCTATATTCTGTATCGATAATTTAAAAATTATTAGATTGTGAGCATTTGAAGTGTTAAAATCAAAAGTATAAAATTACTTTTCCAAAAATCTCGTCCTTTTTGCTTTCGCATTTATATGAATTAATTAAACTCTATTTTTGTCACTTTAAAACAATCACAAGTAAAAAATATAAATAGTAATGCTCTCTTTCGTATGTGCTAACGACAAAGTGACGTCGTGCGCAGACTTGGACGAATTTTGAACTCGCACGTTTCATATCTTCTTAGCTATAATATAAGTTTTATTCCCCTAAATACCGAAAAACCCTACCAGAACTTTAGACTATTTATTCGTAATGTAATAATTTAAAAGAGAGTATAGGACTAATTGACTATAAAATCTTAATAAAAATGAATTAAAAATTTTCCTTGAATAGTAGGTACCTACATTTTTTGTGGTAACTACCCTGCATTTTGTTCGCAAAACTTAAACGTCATACTAATTATGCTTAAAAAGGAAACTGCAGTCTACATTCCCTAATTCTTCCAATTCCACGGACTCATTAAACATTTTCCTTCGTGTCGTATCGGAAACGCACACTACGATTAACAGTTCGTAACTAATAGATCGTCATCTTTCCCCGGGGAATGAACGTGTAAAACCGGGAGCGCTTAGATACTGAGCCGCGCACCGTTGGTACTTATTTCGTACTTAGTCTACTTACAACCTATACTACTAATCGCACTGACAGATTCTGAATCAGCGTCATATCCTTCGGGAGATCGGAAATAACTAGAATACCCTGAATAAAATATAATTCCATTCGAATAAACCCGTTAGTATCGATCCAAGATAATAGTCCCAAAGCGCCTTAAAAAACTCGCACGTTGTTTGATTAAAAGTTCAACCCCAGACCTATATCTGATCTGTCTATACAAAATACAAAAAAAATTCTCATTTGTTCTATGTTAGTCCAGATACTTTAGATTTAAAAAGGGTTTCTGTTATAAAAAATTAGTTACCATCTTTTTTTTAATGACTTTATTTAGGTATTTTTAAAGAAAGTATTAAAAATAGAACACGAAATCAATTTATTATTGATTAAAAAACTTATTCAAGTTTAAAATTCATAAAAAACGTTTTTGTTTTTAGAATATTGCGCTTTCTGTGGCTCTGAAGTCAATTAAGGTCTTTATAAAAATGAAAATGAAACTTTTTTTATATACAACGAAAGATTTAAGCAAAAATATGCTTGGAAGTTTTCGCCCAAGGCGTATAACTACCCCTCTTTGTCATTAGCAACATATTTTATTAAAGGAAAACGTTACGTAATTAAGGTATTTGAAAAACATCCTCGTTGGCCTTTTAGGGCATCAGAAAACGCATTTTCAATCATTTATTTAACATAGTTTGAACTATTTCCAAAAGCTTATATTTTGCACAAACGCTCTACTCGTTTACCTTAAAAAAAATGACATTAAGAAAAATGTTTATTTTCATGTCATAAGTAATGCATGGACTGATATGGGTTTATTCGTTAAGTTAGTAGACCAGATTCATTATGGGCTAAACAAAGAGAAGTAGGTATACAGGTATAAAAATTGAAGATCATTTTTTTTTTTTTGAATAACAATATAATGACCTTAATTGATCTTTATGTCATAGGGAGCGTTGTATTTGCAAAAAACTTTTTAAGTGAGTGATTTAGTTTTCCATTTTTATTTTATTTTTTTCTGAACACATAAATAAATCAATTAAAAAAAAGGTGGTAACTAATTTTTTAGAACAGAAACTTAATTTTATTGGACTATGTAGGTAATAGTGTTCTAGCTCGTAGATTAAATTTGTGTCACCACTTTTCGGTGAACAAATAAAAGGGACTGGTCCGTCTCTCCCGCTGGTCCAACTTTAATAAATAAGTAACAATTTTTAATGTTCATCTACCCAAAACGGTGTCGTTCACGGTTTAATAGTTGGTCGTAAATAACGCGTAAATTTTCCAATTTTCGTGTGGAAATTAATATTTCGACGAAGCAGGAAATTGGATGGGTGCTGTTAATTAATTGAAGATTATACGCCTATAAAAGTCGAGTGCTTGACATACAATATATATATTTAATGTATGCAGGCAGATTTCGACACTTATCGTTAGAAAAATATACTTTACCTAACGTATTTGTAGAAATGTAATCTAATTTGTATTTACTGGTAAGAAAACGATTGTCAGTTTTTTTATTATTCTAATTGTTGTTTACAACACAAAATTTTCTGATTATTTTATAATACAGTTAAGATGTAAATTTTTATTTCAAAATTCTGGCCGATTGTTTATTAGTTAGATAAATGTTTACTATGAGGCTGTAAGTTTATAAGGGCTAAGTTTTCGTTCAATTCCAGCGGTAGGAAATTGACTTTCGCTAGGACGAATTTCGGATTGGAAAACGAGTTGGTGGAATAATTACGAGCTAGGAACGGGAAGGGCCTTAATGTTAATTAAGGTATGATTAAATTACGGGAACGACGGGCACAGTGCGACGATTTCCAATTTGAATATCTTATACATACGAGGGTGGATTGATAAGTTTCCGGCCTAACCAAGAGATGACGCCACTAGGCCTACCTTGAGGTGACATTCTATAGTACCATCCTTGGATAGCTTGTAGCTATAGTTTCAGCCCGATCTCCTTGCTAGTGTAGGTTTGACAGCACGCTGAACAAGACGCCTCTGTGGTTTTCGTAAAAATGGAAAAGCAGGAAAATCGTGCTGTCATCAAATACTTTTATTTGAAGGGGTTAACGCCGAAGGAAATTAAAAAAGAGATGGACTCAACACTGGGGACATCCTCCCCGTCATATTCAACCGTTAAGCAGTGGGTTTCCGAGTTTAAAAAGGGTCGTGTGAGCACCTCTGATGGGCCTCGCTCAGGACGCCCCGTTGAGGTCACAACTCCAGATATGATCGAAAAAATTCATCAAATAGTGCTGGGAGACCGCAGATTGAAAGTGCGTGAGATAGCTGAGACCTGTAAGATGTCATATGAACGTGTGCAACATATTTTGCACCAACATTTGCATATGGAAAAGCTCTGTGCAAGATGGGTGCCGCGTTTGCTAACAGTCGACCAAAAATTGATTCGAAAAAACATTTCTACCGCAAATTTGTCATTGTATAAGCGTAATCCAAGCGAATTTTTGCGTCGATTCGTAACCGTTGACGAAACGTGGGTCCACCACTACACTCCTGAAACCAAAGAACAGTCTAAACAGTGGATTGGACCAGGGGAACCAACTCCAAAGAAGGCAAAAACAATTTTTTCGGCGAACAAGGTTATGGCTACTGTTTTTTGGGATGCAAGAGGTATTATATACATTGATTACCTTGCAAAGGGTAATACTATCACTGGTCAATACTACGCAGACTTATTGCAACGTTTGAGCCACGAGGTGAAAATTAAACGACCTCATCTGGCGAAGAAAAAAATCTTGTTTCATCACGATAACGCACCAGCGCACACGTCAATCGTTGCGACGGCTAAAATCAACGATCTAAAGTTTGAATTGATGCCGCACCCTCCTTACTCTCCAGACCTAGCCCCGAGTGACTATTTTCTGTTCCCTAATCTCAAAAAATGGCTTGGCGGTAAGAGATTTGCGGACAATGAAGAAGTAATCGAAGCTGTAAATGGTTATTTTGAGGAGCTTGACGAATCAGTCTATAGAGATGGCATTAATAGACTGGAACACCGCTATGAGAAATGTATCAGCCTTGGAGGAGATTATGTTGAGAAATAAAAAAAAAAAATTTTTAAAAACCTTGTTTTTCTTGGTCAGGCCGGAAACTTATCAATCC